CCTGGATTAACCTCGCCTGTGCTCTGTTTAGGGTCAAATAAAAATGTTGTTTGGTCTGATGTTCCGTAATTCCTTCTGTAAATATTGTGCAGCTTTGACATATAAGATTAGGCCTGATGATTTCTCAGCTGTACGAGCTCTATTTGCGTCCACCGCTTGACAAACAGTGAGGACACTCAGTCCTTGTGTGCAACTTATTTTGCTGTGACGTCAGGTTCACTAAATTAAATGTATTCGGGGTTATGTTGAATTTGATGACTTGCTTATGCTGTTTAGTAATGAGCCAAATAACATTGAGCCACCGTAGCGGTATCTCAGAAGATATGCTTGTAATGATTTCTATCTTTATGGTTTTTACAGCCAGAATAGTAAAATAAGACGAGTAAACATGCTTATCTAAGGGCAGAAAATCTTCAGCTTTAGGAAGAAAAATATAAAGTCTTGTTAAGGCAACTTGTGTCATAAACAAACAAATTACACAGAGCAGATGCACTATTTTCAAATTCAGTACTAAATTATCTCATTAATTGTATTTTTTAACCTTTTTCTAAGACATTCTTTGCATTTATTGTATTGTTTCTACAGCTGTGCAGCACTAACGTGACCTCCTTGTGTTTCCTTGTGTACAGAGGACAGACCCTCAGCTCCTGGCCCAATTCTATTACGCTGATGAAGAGCTTAACCAGGTGGCCACTGAGCTGGACAGCCTCGACGGCAGGAAGGACCCTCAGAGATGTACCCTGCTGGTCAATCAGTTCCGATCCTGTCAGGTCAATACGATGAACTAACTCACAGTCATCACCCTTCCCTGCCTTTCTTTTCCCTCAGACTACGTGTCAGCATGCTTAACTTAGTGCTTATATTTCATTCATTCTGTTTAAATAAAACATAAAATAGTGGAGCGAGCCGGGGATTGAGGTAAAGTAACCCCTCAGCCATGATTATGTATGTTTATTATAGATTCATTTCATTCACATTATCACCTGGCTGGACCTTGGATTGGCCTCAAAACTAAAAATAGACAACGGCCTTATTATCCTTTTCCGGATACAGGCGTGGTGATAGGACTACTGCCTTACCAAACACTGCTTGGCTCGGTTCCTTTATGAAGCAGTTTTGCTGATAAGGTGAGATAAGAAGACTTTGTTTGGAAGCAGTCGGCGGACACACTCATCTTTGCTCTGATAACGCTGAGCTGTTTGTCATGTGGCCCATTAGTAAATGGTTCGGAGAGTGGCCTCTTTAAAAGGAGACGTTTCATAATCGCAGCTTTTGTTGAACAAACTGTGCTAAGAACTGGTGTCTTTCTAACCACCTGTATATATCTGTAATCAGATTGAATCTATAGGGAGGTGAGTTATCGTATGTGGCGATGCAGGTTATTGTTTCAGGGCCGTGCGAGGTCAGGGCTTAGAGGAGCTTAGCGGGTGATGCCATTCATGAGTGATGGCTGCCATGCCGCGTCATGCTGGGAGATCTGGAGGGAGTGAAGGAGGTTCTCATCTGGCCTGTTGTGCCTCAGCCTGCCCCCCACCGACAGGGCACACAGGGAGAACTACTTAATAAGGTCATCACTTGATCCCCGACTGTTCTGTCTCTTCCCCCTCCATCCTTCCTTCTGCCGAGGTGTCACCTTGTTTTTCTTTGGTGTTTCATTCTCCATCAGGCGGAGCTTTTTCAGCACTTTAAAATGAGGAGCGCTTGTTTGACTGCTTCTGGAACCCAAATTAATCTCTGATTTTCTCCCCCTACGAGCTGCAATGAAAATGTTTAACAGCTCATTTCTAGACACTTTTAAGTTCAGAGAGGAGGCTTCTCAGAGTGGCGTGCCTCAGAGGCCTCAAGGGTTTTGGGCAATGAATAAAGCAGCATGATACCCCCACAGCCCTGAGGCCCCAAGAATAGAAGGCAAGTACAGTCAAGCCAGAATGTTGTGCTTGAACCTGCCACTGCAACTATCAGCTCTTATTCATGGACCTCTGTGGGGGTTGCTGGCATGCTGCTCATATTATGTTGGCACGGCTGTTCTTACAGTGTGGCCTGCTGGAGCGGGCGAGCCACTGTGTGTGTGTGTGTGTGTGTGTGTGTGTGTGTGTGTGTGTGTGTGTGAGATGGACAAAGCCTGAGTTGGTTGGCATATACAGGAACAGAACGGTCAGAGATGGACGGTGAAAAAAGTGAGGGACAAGTTGAGAAAAGGGATAGAAGCCAGTCTTTTGTCAGCCAGCCAGACGGACCGGTATCATGCCAGAGTCGCTACCCCTGGATGATTTGAAGCCAACAGAAAGTGAAGGTTATCACTGGTATCCCCTGCTGGGAGACGCTCACAGACAGTGGGGTGTTACTTAGACCGGGCCAAGACACATCGCCATAAAGGAATCAGTGGTTAAGCTCTCCCTCTCAAAGCTTTTTAATCTTTCTCCTCGGGGTGAGCAGAGAAAGACGCAGTGCTGTGCCTGACAAGATTACAGTGCACAGTGCAGCTGCGGTTGAGTGAAAGGCTCATTGTAAGTCATTGTTATGGCTGTTGTACATGCCAGCGGCACATAAGCTCTTGATCAGCTCTTGTTGTGTGTGACACTGCATTTTCACTGCCGGAATTACGGGCTTTAGTTCCCTGTTTTTATTGAAGGAGAATGTAGCTGCGAGGGCCGTAATGGTCTCGTGTACTCGTCAAATTGTTTTCATTCTCTTCCTAATCAATGGTCTTCAAGCACTGTAATACAATGGGCCTCTTGAAGGGGTGACAAATGTTTAAGCCCGGATTATTGACCAACATTAGTGAAACACTGAGAAAATCACTTTTCGACAAACAGACTTTCACTCACTCATGTTTATGCCTCCGACTAGTTTGTTCAATTTTGGTTTCTGTCACTCTCGTGTTCATCTGCAGGACAATGTGTTGAACATCATCAGTCAGATCATGGATGAATGTATCCCCAACGACCGGGCCAACAGAGACTTTTGTGTCAAGTTCCCTGAGGAGATTCGTCATGACAACTTGGCGGGGCAGTTGTGGTTTGGGGCTGAGGTAGTGTATTCCCTCCTGCATCATTCTGGAAGAAAACAGCTTTGTTCAAGGTGTAAACAAGCGTAAAAGTACCAGCAAATGTCAATTTTACATTGATTCTTGATGGTCAAATGTGCCATTGTAAACATAATTGTCTCAGTTTAATCTCCATACAGGACGGGGTAATTAATGATGTGCTTGTTGTCATCCAGTGTTTGGCTGCAGGCTCCATCATCATGAACAGGGAGATAGAAAGTATAGCGATGAGACCCCTGGCCAAGGACCTCACTCGCAGCCTGGAGGAGGTGCGCAACATCACCAGGGATCAGGCCCTGAGAGACCTCAACCTGTACACAGACCGCATGAAGGACGCACTGCGACATTTTGACGGCCTTTTTGCTGAGTTTGAACTCAGGTAAACCAGACATTATTATCTATGTATCTATAAGATTTATCATCCAGTCAAGGTTTTTTTTTTTGTCCAAGTTTGCCAAAAACTTTGGAACACTGGGAATCTCATTAAATTCTACTTTCTTTTTCTTCCACTGGCAGCTATGTGTCAGCCATGGTGCCTGTGAAGTCTCCCAAAGAATACTACGTACAGCAGGAAGTGATTGTGCTCTTCTGTGAGACTGTGGAGAGGTGAATTTACACACTGACAAAAACAAAACAAGCCGCACAACTGCTGACTTTGTCTGGAATTTATTAGAATGTAAATAACAGATGGAGATGATGAGGTACATTTTTTTTTTTGTCATGTTTCCTCTCTCTGTTGTTTCAGGGCTCTGAAGCTGGGCTATCTCACACAGGACATGATCGATGACTATGAACCCGCGCTGATGTTTACAATTCCCAGACTAGCCATTGTGTGGTAAGTGTTGCCTGTCCTTCCACCATCCTCTTTGTTTCCTGCTCCTTCCCACCCTCGTACACCCTCTTACAGAATTTTAAACATTTTTTTAGTGGGCTGGTTGTGTATTCAGAGGGACCTCTCAACCTAGACCGAAAATCAGAGGACATGTCTGAGCTCTTCAGGCCTTTTCGCACTTTATTGAAGAAAATCAGGTACAGGCCATGAATATCAAACATCATAAAAATTATCTATTTTCCTCTGTCACTATGCTTCAACTGTGATGTTTGTTTGTAGAGACCTGCTCCAGACCCTGACTGAAGAGGAGTTGATTACGCTGGAGAGGAACCTGTGTATTTCTCAGGATGGGGAGTTGTCGACAAGCCAGGGACTGGCCACGAACGGCGTACCAGCACCAGTCCAAGAGAATCCCTCATCCTCTGTCCCTGCTAATGACACCTCTAAAGGAGAGAGTGAGGGGGAAGAGGAGCAACTAGCTCTGTTTGTCTGTCCCAGCCAGGAGGAGGAGCTGGCGGAAGTAGAGAAAGGCTGGGAGGAGGTGGAAACTGAGAGGGGCGAGGAGGAGCAGGAGCAGGGCCTGCTCTGTGAGGAGGCAGAGGAGGCTGAGCTGGCCTGCTCCATGCAGTACGATGAGGAGGAACTGGAGCAGCTCAACATGATGGTGTACCGCGTAGGAGACGAGATGTCCACTCTGCTGTCACCCCCCAGCCAGGGTCAGTCCCCAGCTCACCGTCCTAACAGAGGAGAGCCAGGAGGCTCCAGTGGGGCTTCCAGCACCGAGGCGTCTCCACGCAGGATCTTGGGGAGCCGGGGAAGGACAGGCATCTATGTAGAGGAGGAGGACAGGGTCTTCTTCATGGAGGACCTGGACGCAGCAGGAGATAGCACCACCAGCATCTCAAAAGAGGCTTGTAATTATGTCGCCTCTCCTTCCAAAGAGTGCACTCGTCCTGTGCAGCGCAAGCCTGGACCGAGGCCAGACTCCGTTAGGAACGGCTGGTACTCTGAGACAACATCAGAGCAGCCTTGCCCACAGCCACGCAGCCTGAACACACACTGTCCCCCTGCTAAGCGCCCCCTGTGCACCGCTGGCCCTGGTTCTGAGCCGCTGCCTTACACCAATGGGTGGGAGATGGGTTTGGAGGGGACAGCGTCTGAAACGGCTGAGGTCATCGCCCATCGAATGGGAGGGATGAAGCTGTCCGCTACAGTCATCTTCAACCCTCGCTCACCCAGCTTGACAGAGCTGGCTGTGGACAAGCTGCTGTTGCCGCGGCCCACACCCTCTGAGATTGAGCCCTGTGGCCCCCTGGTGGCCACTCACTGCCTGCTAAACTCCTGCGTCTGCTGTGGGAGCTGCGAGGATGGCCACGAGGATGCCATCACCACGGACACCACTGGACTCGGATTAGGCCTCGCTCTGGGATTGGACAAACATTGTAAGACCCCGGCCCCCGGCACCGTCATCCAGTCTTCTGCTTGCCGGCTGCCCCCACGTGGTCACGAACCTCACAGTAAGGGCGACATCGCCCAGCTGACTCCCCCTTCTTCCCGCTGCTCTGCTGAGCCACTGGAAGAGGAGTCAAACTCTCAGCTGTGTGAGAAGTGCCTGGTGGTGACTCCGGGGCTGGGCCACCACGCTCAGGACTATAGCTCTAGCGGAGGGGATGGAGCCTCCCCCTGCAACCACCAGCTGAGGACTGAGAGGAGGCAGCATACTAGTGGAAGCCAACAGAGGGATAAAGAGGTGGATAAAGATAAGCCAGAAAGTAAAGATATGAAGAGGGACACCAAAGAAGACAGCAGGAGAAGCTCCAGGTTTGCTGTAGTTTCACTAACTTTGTGGTTTATGTTGGGGCAATCTGTCATCATGTTTCCTGTGGGGCACCTATGAGCTCCACACAACATAAATGCAGATACTGTATTTATGTTTTGTTTTTTCTTATTCCATCACACATAATATTTTTCTGTTACTTTCATTATTTATGATTTTACACTTATGTTCCCCCTCGTTGTTATACCTGTGTGTTTATTTAACTCTTACCCATTATCATCTCTTTTTTTTGTTTCTGTTTATTTGGCTGTCTTTAGTTTTCAGAACTCCCCTCTCAGCTCTGTGTCAGGCAGTGACTGTGAGAGTGTGTCGGTCACCACATGTAGTCTGTCGAGCAGTGCATATACTCCCAGGTAACTAATCACCCATCAAAGTGTGTGTCGCCGTCGTGTGTTTGGGAGTGCTTTCTTCCTGCTCTCGCTTTGATAGTAACTAAAAAAAAAAAAGTCCTAGAATGATTGATAAAAAGGCAGCTTTGTTATTTTGCAGTCTTTGTACAGGGTGTTTGTTCAGATGTACCAGCTGATTGAAGTGTCAGTCACACCTGTATGAGCTACAGGTGACGGCATTCATTGCGCTCTGGCTTAGATTGTAGATTTAATTAGATTGGTTTGAATACATTTACTGCTCAGCCTGTATCTAGTGGTGGGATATTACATAGGGAGTAGACTGTGAATATGTCGGTTCAAAGTTGAAATCTACTATTGATGAAATATAGTTTAAATGTGTAAATTGTGAATGTATTTTTGCGAAAGATGAGGAAAAAAATGACCTCTCATCACTTCCTCCAGCCCTGTCAGCAGTCTGACCCCCAGCTCGGGGACATCAGAAGATCTGGACCACCAGGAGATCCAGCTGGCCCTGCATGATGCCAGGGTGGCGGCCAGAAACAAGATCCGATCGCGTTTCCACAGCAGCAGCGACCTCATCCACCGCCTCTTTGTTTGCATATCAGGTAAAGGCTCTCGTCCTTTCAGTCGTTCTCCCCGCATCTCGTCGTCTCTCTCGGGCTCATATCCAGTTTGTGTTTTTGTGCGATGCAGGTGTTGCTGACCAGCTGCAGACGAACTATGCTAGCGACCTTCGCAGCATCCTCAAGACTCTGTTTGAAGTCATGGCAACCAAGTGTGAGCAGGGAGACAATGATAAGCAAAAGAAAGGTGAGGAACATTTTTTAGATTTGAAATATGTTACAGTAAGTTCTATTTCCCTTCTTAATACAACATAGATCATAGATGTAGTGCTGCTGGAGCGCATCAGAACAAAACTGCGCCACTTTTTTTTCTCCAAGAGAAAAAATAGAATATTTGTAGTTTACATTATCCAGTTAAAATTCATGTACATTTTTTTAGGCGATTGAAGATCCAGTCGTCATTAAAACATAGAGCCAGTGCCAACAAATGTAATGGTTAACTAAACATTCAGCCTTAAAAGTTGCTGATAGCCTTTGAACAGTGAATTTAAATATTTATTCCACCTAGCTGACTTTACCTATAGCAGTAAAGATGAAAGGGCAGCAGAACATCCTTTCATTCATCGATCACTATTCTGACAGTTTCTTTATTTGTGATGCATTTGCAAAAAGAAAAAACATTAAAAGTCAGCCTTTTAAACTTGGACAGCTTGTGCTGCAGCCTCCATGCCTGCATGAAATAAATGCTTGCTTAGCTATGCTTTCATAGCTTAGCTTATTAGCTTGACCTCTGCCTGCACTGCAGCTTCTCTGCAGAAGGAATGTTTTAAACGCGGTTTCACAACATTCTGCACAAATAAGTAAATGAAATCACTCACAACAAGAACCGCTTGTGTTCAATTGACATGACTCTTTAAACCACTTCAGTATAACCTGCTTCACCCATCGTAATGCTTATTACTTAGCTAGATGTTTGGCTGATAACATTCTCAACACGATAAAACTATCAGTAAAGTCAGTTTGATTGTTGGGTCAGTCAAAGCTGATCAATGTGTGGAAACATACGAAACAAACAAGTGTCCTAGGTGCACACTAGGACTTAAAAAACCAACACAGAATTCAAATGTGCCTTCTCAGTTCAAGGGAACTATGAGAAAGCGTGTGTTTTTATTTGAAAAGGGGCAATGTACACTATTCAACGTTCAGATTACCATAAATGCACCTGGTTTAGCCAAAAAGCTAACTGTCATCAGCAGCTTTCACCTGATGTTGTTAAGCGTCCATGTGAACAATTCTAATGCAGTATGAGCCGTCGTTAAATCAACCTACATCTTTATAAAATCATGTACAATACAGTTGATGAAGTTACATCCAGTTAAATAATACAGCATCATACACTTAAAGACACAAATACATAATGAGCATCGTCTTGTTATCGGTGGAGGAGGACGATATCAGTTATAATGTCAATAAACTATTTCTGTAAAAGGCTGCCGAAATACAAAATAGGATGGAAACTTCCCAATAGGTTTTGAATTCCATTGATGTGATGCTCTGAAAGAAAAGATGCCCTGATTGAATGTGTAGAATCAGATAGACCCTCTGAGCTGCACCTCTAGTAGCTGCAGCACAGTTAAAATCAATGAAGTCAAGTTCAACAAAATAAAAATTTGCAAATAGATATTTAATATTTGTCTGTGTGATTGTTTTTAAAGTGGCTAAAATATGAATGTTTATAACAATAATCTGTTACATGACAAAAGTGATCATAGTAATGAACCTACAGAGAGTGATCACCTGGATCTGCAGCTCTTCTGTGGCTTTATGGAGCTTTCTAGTCACTTGCAGCTCATCGTGCAGCTGTCTGGCGAACAACTTTAGTTCCCTCACAGCTCCCTCATAGTTTCTGATGCAGCTGTTTTCAGTGAAAGGCTATCTATTCAGCACCATACAGGGACAGTTTGTAAATGGATTTAACTTGGAGCTAAAGAGCTGATATTTCCTCCGGGAGTCGCGTCATGGCCAGAAACAAGAAGACGAAGGACCGGCTTCCTCCAAAAAAAACATCTGTTATTGCAGGTTAAACTAATTGATGAAAACTACATAAAAACATTTTTATACATAAGACATTGCAACGTTCCCTCCTTTAGCTGTTGTAAAAAACCTACTTCTCATCATATTACAACGCATCTTGACCAGCGTAAAGCCTTTTCACCTGCCTCAGCGGTTTCGCACCGTGTTGTCTCTAACAATGGCTCTGCAACAGGGTTTAAACTACTATCAATCACACACTACACTGGTTTAAGTCGCTTCTTTTGTGGTGTTCAGCAGGTCCTGTTCTGCGCAGTGCGGTGCTGGAGGACTGTGCTCTGTGTCAGGAGACCATTTCCTCATCGGAGTTGGCAGCCAAGGCCAGGGAGGGCCAGTTCGAAGGTCAGCAAATCCACAAACAGTCCAACGCAGAGTTTGGTTGAATTGTCAGCTCGTTCCTTTTCGCCTTCCCTCAGCAAATGTACAGCTGGTGACAGGTCTGGTTTGTGTTTATTGTTTCTTGTTGGTTCCATGTAGACCCTCCCGACTGGGTCCCCGATGAGGCCTGCAACTCCTGCATCGCCTGCAAGGCTCCCTTCACCGTCATCCGCAGGAAGCATCACTGTAGGAGCTGTGGGAAGGTACGCTGTCTGTTATCTGAAGGTGCACAGGTGGCAGACTTCTCACTTCAATGTGTAGCTGATCAAAGTGATGTTTCATCCTATTGAATGCTAATACGCCACATCCTGTGTCATTTCAGATCTTCTGTTCCCGCTGCTCCTCCCATTCGGCTCCACTGCCTCGCTATGGCCAGGTGAAGCCTGTGAGGGTTTGCACACACTGCTACATGTTTCACGTCACGCCCTTCTACAGTGACAAGGCGGGCATCTGACCCCGAAAGCACACAGTCTGCCACAACAAGAGCATATGCAACGGACAGATCCACGGCTATGTAGAAAGCAAATGCAGCACTGCTCTGGTAAATCCTAACGGTCGTGATTGTACCTTGTATGGCTTCAGAATGAGGCCATTATAAATGAGGGAGCAGAAAGTCCAGACGGGAAGCCACAGAGGGATGATTCGATCTGTTTCTGAGACATGCTGGTGTGTCAGCGGGAATCAAAGTGATTTTCTGTACCCACCCAACACAAGTGATTCACAAACGCCTGTCTGACTGCAGAGGTACAAAAGGGAGAGGTGGTGAGCAGGCAAGAACGGATTTTGAACTGGCATTGTGCAGCAGTCCTCTGCGACAGTTTGCATCACAAGATTGGAACAGGCCACCATGTTTGTTTGTTTGTTTGTTTTCTTTTCTTTAGGTGTAAATGAAAGGACTTGTGACATATTTTCCTATGCTTTAGCGAGCTTCCTGCATTTGTGCCCGAGCTCCCACAGGACTTAAGGATTACTCTAAAGAATGTAAGTCACGATCACCATGTAAATACGGATGATTCTGGTCATAATTACACTAAAATCTCTTCAGTAAACGGTTGCTGCGCATCAGAACTGGAAAGCAATCTTCACCAGGCCACCAGACCCAAGAAACCAGAACGGAAAAACTGACAACTTTTATATTGAGATTCCTTCATGCTTTTAATTGCAATGAATGTGTATTTCTGTATCACTTTGTGGGATTGACTCCAGACTCCAACAGGACTGACCGTTCACCTCTCCATGGTAGTGGGCTGTGCCCATTGCTGTACTCTTGCACCACGGCATATTGGGTTTTCTCTGGGGACTCCGCTGCACCCTGAGATGGAAAAAAGGGATCCCTTGGTCATCACTGTCAGGTCTTGAAGGCCCCCTAGTGGAGAGTTGACCTCTCGTCACTCAGTGCTCCCTTCAGCACCACAGTGTGCATCGTTAGTTTGGAACCAGAGGCCTTCTCAGGTGCTGGCCTACCAGAACACAGGCCGATTATTACCCATTGATTTTCTCTTCCTCACAGATGTTCTAGTGCAATATAGTGACTACTGATTGCAATGGTCCTGCACACTTAAGAGACAACCCTTTGCTATTTAAATTACAGTTATAGGCCATTTCTGAAGAGCAGAGTACTGATGATACTTGTTTACACTAAATTATTTCCTCCTTCGGCTCTGGTGGTACCGTCGGGCAGGAGCACATGTTTTGTTCCCGGACTGGCATCGTTTGTTCCCGACTTCCTTTCTGCTCTCAAATCTGCTTCCACTGCAATGACAGCTTACACCGTATCTTCCATGCTTATGACATGTTAGTTTGTCCATCTGAATGCTCTGAAGTGGCCAATACGGACCTTTGAGCGGGCGACGTAATGTCCCATTACGTCCACTCTGCTCTGACTTAAAGCAGTTTCTCAGGCATTACATATTTAGGATCAGTCACTACTGTTCTATCAATCTTATTTTCATCAAAAAACATATAAGCTCACTTTGAAAAGGTATGCTTTTTCTTTTATAAAGAACAAAAATATGAAGCTATAGTTACTTTTATGTAAGACAGAAACACAAGGAATCATGCAGTAACTAAAGGGCGGGTTATCCTCTTATTATTATTTCAGAGCTTGGTCTTATTTTGTAAAACTCCAGTACATTTCCATGATAAGAGCTGTGTAAAATATTCAACAAACAAATACTGTTATATAGTTTTAAATGCGATGTATATTGAAATAAATGATTTTCTTTTTTCCTGTTTAAAAAAAAAAGCCCATTGAACGCTTGCCTTTACTTTTACAGCTCAACACTTCTGAATTTCTGCTTTGAAACGTGTCAGTAGATTTGTGTGTTGCTTTTATTGACCCGCCGTCTGCCTGCCAATGATTTGTAACGTCACACCGATATACGCTGAATGAAATTTATTTAGATAATTCATAGCACATACCAGCTCCTTCTCCGGGTTTGCGTGAGCGGGGATTTAAGAAGTGCAACTCGGATATGACGACAGCCACAAGGTCCCTGTTCTGACACCGAGCGCCGTGGAATTAGTGGAAAATTGTACCAGTTTAATATATTTTATTTGAATGTTGTCAGACCGGATATTCTGTTAAGATGCTCATTTACAGCCTGGAACTATATTCGTTACGATATGCCAGTTTTTCCTGGCGCTCGAGTGGGCAGCGTGGGCCCACTCATCTGATGAGCAACACCCTGCTCAAACTGAATTTTCTGACTTTTATGGAGTTGGACTAACAGAGTTGCAGATTTTTCCACATAGTTAAAGAGGCGCTACACAAACTCACACAGAAAGGTCAGTTCACTGTTCATAGGGAACCACCTCAATCTGGGAACTCGGTTATATAACGTCTTATTCAGCACAGAGTGGAACTTAGATGCTTTATTAAACCACTCGTAGCTGATCTGTGTATCGGTTAAGTAAGTCAATATACATGTTTCCTTTAAAATTATAATTACTTCCTGCCTTAAAATGGTTTAAATGGAACTCTCTACCATTGCTTCCTGTAGATTATGCAGATCCATGAATTCCTCACCCCTGTCTTCATCCATCCCTCCCCACTCGCTGCACCTTGAGCACACCAGCTCACCTACTACTCTCCTCAAACACTGTAAAGCTACTCTACGCTACACAAAGGCAGTTTATAGTGTTGAAGTCATTCAGCCATACAGTCAAATGTATTCATAGCCTCCTGTTAAAGAAGGAACCAAACAGCTGTCACTGAAATAAATTGACAAAAGTAATAATAAATAGAAATTTAATGGAAATCATGACGTTGCTTTTGAATTTTAGTTCAACAGAAATATTGAAAAACAAACAAACAAGGAAACAAGCATGATGGGACCCATAACGTGCAGCAAAGTGTTCTAGTTTGTTCGGGACAGATTTGTTTTTTAAAATTATTCTTTTCAACCACAATTCAAAAGCAATGTCTTATTTCACTGAGTTATTCACACACCATCCGATACAGGCTATGTAGATTGTACTGGTCCAGCACATAGGCTAGTTTTTACACCCAAACTCGCTGCCATCTTGGAATGGACTATCCCGGATATAGTCATAATTCCATCCTGGACTGAGGGTATGATAATAAACAGGCAACACTGTATTAGTTATGAAAATTAGCCAGAGTAAATTAAAATTAATCAGGAAAAACAACCGCAAAGAGACAGAAGATAACCGTAACACTCAAAGGCACCACAGAGAGACGTCATGGGCCACAAAGTGTAACAAGTACAACAAAGAGATGCAAAATGATCACAAACACCCTGCAAAATTATACAGGGAAAACCCAACAAATATCAAGATTCACTATAATCAACCATAGTGGCAACACTGGAGAGAAAAACCTCCCTTTTAACAACAGCAGACGTCAAGCAGAGCGAGGTTCAGGAGGCCACCTGCCTCAACCAGCTGGGATGATGAGGTTAAAGAGGAGAGAGAAACGACAGAGATCCTTCTATTGACAGATGTGGTTATTTACAGTACATGAAGGGATCTCAGTAAAACCTGCTTTTTGGGAAATAAAGGATGCATTGTTTTGAATCTGTAGCCAGAGAAGGAACTAAAGGTCAGATAATCGTAGCTTCTGCTGCCGCAAATTTGATTGAATTGATTTAATTTTTGATCTAACTCTGGGACATGCAGCACAATGAGAGAAAAATGGGTCACACTGCTAAGATTTATTTAGAAATCAAACCACGTCATAGGTGCTTGGTGCTAAATGGATTCACAATCAATGAGGTCCGTCAGTACTGGATTAGAGACTAAATATATAGTAGAACACAGATATTGAGGGAACTCTGACACTTGCTCTGTATTTGTCTTGTAGTGCGTACAGTCTACTGACATGCAACACTTGTTTTTCATCCTTCTTAAAAATTATTTTATAACCCTGTTAGGACGCCCGGGGTCTTTCTCCATGGAGTCTCCATGTTCTCCCTCTGCAACGTGGGTTCTCTCCAGGTTCTTTGGCTTCCTCCAAAACCATATTGAGGTTAACTGGTGATTCTAAATTGTCTGTAGGTGTGAATGTGAGTGTGCTTGGTTGTCTGTCTCTAAGTGTAGCCCTGTGATAGACTGGTTACCTGTCCAGGGAGGATTAAATGGTGTATAGATGGTGGATTGGTGGATGTTAGTGTGGCATTGAAACTGATTTTAAATCTGACATCCTGGGAGCTGATCTGATCCACGCAGGGGCCAGTAGGTGGCAGCAGGGGTTCACAGTGTGGCATCACAGTGGTATTCATCACTCATAGCAAAAGTCATGAAACACAATTAAAGATGCAGAATTTGAGTATAATTTTGCAGAACTTTAACTGTAATGTGTTGCCTTGTGATGCACATCAGTCTGTTAATAATGACTGAGGTTTGGAGCTCAAATAGAGGAAAGTATCAGTACAATAAGGAGAAGTTAATTTAGCAGTGATATTTGCATTGTTCTCGGTAGTCCTCAGCTGCCATCCTGCACTAAGCTGGCGGTGAGACAGTGTCCGTGTGATGAGCAGCTCCGAGCGGCGGACGGATAAAGAGTTAACCGTGTCCGGACTGCGCGGCCTCTGATTGGCCCGCAGCGGCAGCGCTGGGACGGACAACAAGTCTCCGCTGAGTGCGCACTGGAAAAGTCACTTGGTGGTCGAAGCGGACTACACGGACCGGAGTCTGATGGGTTTTTTTTTTTTTTCTCTCCTCCTCACACAATTAGCACAGCGGGACTCGTGTTGTAATTTATGGAGTTTGTAATTTACACGAGTGCAGCCGTGAATCCGTTATTTTATCCCGGAGACAGACATGCGCGGTCCTGCTAGAGGTCGCTGGAAAGTCGGCCGCTGTCACTTCTGATTCATGGACTCAACACGGACTTTAGCTGCAAGTATTTCTGTCAAGAGGCTCGTACGAGGCTGACTTAATTCACTGAGTATCAAGGTACGTTCATGTTATATTTATATAAAAGCTCTGTTGGTTTATTTTGCATGCTCAGAAGCGCTGGTGATGTTTGACTGTTATGTGCAGCCACGAGTTAAAGCAAAGAGTTTTCATCAACTTTCTGCCATTCAGGGCTTCAGTTAGCTGCCTGGATATTCAGTTGAACTGGGCTCCAGACTTCTTCAACTTTACAAAAGCCCTAAAAACACTAATTAAAAACTCAATTTAGAGTCCCACATAGACCTAGTTGGACAGAGAAGGTTTAGACACATTTTGTATTAGAGCTGGCTAATCAAGATGGACTTTATTTTGCAATATTTATGATAGTGACAGTAAACCTCATTCATTTGGGGTTTAATTTTTGATATTTTTAGTCTTTCTTTGGACTGTAAAAGGCTCCAGGAGTCTAGTTTGGGAACCACTGAAGAAAACAGCTTAAGATTATCTTCATTTGCTGATTAATCGACTTATTGTTTGCTCAATAAAATGACAGAAAAAGGTGAAAAATGTTTCCTAAAGTCCAAGATGACTTCCTCACATGTGTTGTTTTGTCCACAAACCCCAAGAGATTCACAAGTAAAGAAATAAGAGAAATTAACAAGCCGTAATCGTAAAGTTTTGACATTTTTACCCATTAAACAATGACTCAAGCAGATTATTCTGTTCTCCAAATAGTTGGGGATTCGTTTGATAGTTGATCACTAATTGATTAGTTCATTAAGCAGCTTTATCTGTCAGAGAGATGGAAATAGCTTCACGATCCTTGGCATTGTTCAAACGTTTTATTTATGCAAATAATTTAAATTTCCCCAAATCCTCTCATATTGTTCTCAGTGTGTTGGTCCTGCGGTGTGATTATACACCTCGTGTCTGTATCTCTTTCAGATTTGGGGAATATGAACTTGTCTCTGGACGGTATGGGCATCCTGACGATTGTGTTGTTCATCTTCGAGGCTGTTTTACTGACCGACTGCGTAAGAGGTGAGAGCTGCTTCGTACCTTTTCTTTCTGTCTTTTTTCTGAGCTAATATTGCGTGTTTTAAACGTGAAAGGTAACACCACATTCACAGCTCATTATTAACCAGGCTGAATGGCTGGTTTCCTGTGAGCATGAAGGAGGTCTCAGTTGGGTCTTAACGCTGTCGCACCGAGAAGAGACGGAAAACTTAAAAACTAAAAAAAAAAATGTCTCTAAACAGAACCCAAAATCAACACGGGGCAGTGGAATGAGAGAGGGCAAGCCAACCCCTACCCCTGGTTTGTGTGTGTTTCAGTCACGCTGTGTGTATGTGTGTGAGTGTGTGTGTGTGTGTGTGTGTGTGTGTGTGCACATTCACTACAGCTAAACCAAACAAACATCATCCATCAGCTTCCCAGGGTGAAAGAACACAAGTCAGGGTAAGAGTCCAGCTCTCCCGTGGCCGGCCAAAGGACTGTCTCACATCAGCCTGTGTGTGTGTTCATGACTGAAACACTGCGTGGAGAGTGGGAGACCTCAGTCTGACCACAATTCATTGCACTGTTTATTGTGCCAGTATCAATACTTTACTTTATAAAGACAACTTACAGTGAGCGTGTCAACAGCTTGTGAATGACTGTGGAGGCAATTTCTATGATTTCATCCACCATCACTGACTACTGAACCGTGTCTGATGCAATCCAGCGGCATGAGTCAATGACAGAGGCATAACGTGAAACTACACTTCAGCTTTAATGAGAGAAATCTGAAAGCCAGACACATTTCCCCAGAAAATTACACTCTGGCAAAACAAGCAGGCTCTATAGCGCTCTCATTATTCTCCCGCTCAGCGTAGAAGTGAATTCAAGAGGCGTCCGATGGGTACAATACCTGCATGTGGCTATCATGGCTCAAGGTAGAGGGACAGGAGGGGGTTGGCGGCGGTTTAGAGGGGGAGATTAGATCTGTAGGTCTGCAGACAATGCCTCATTCACAGCGTGGCAGCCGTGCCTTCACGGCACGACTAAACCAAAAGTAAACAAGACGTGAGGGCTAAATCAGATTAGACAGGCAATTTTGTATGTTTACAGATTAACATATGTCAGTGAAGCACAAATCCAGAATGTGGACGCCAGTGGGACGGTGGCGAGTGGAAGTCTGATGAGCCTAAACTGATTTAATGTCAGACAAAAGAGAGAATTTACCGCCTGTTTCTCATAATTCCTCTAAAAGTGGTTGCAGATGCACAGACAGATGTACGCATCACAGATATGTCGCTGGCAGACAGTCTGAGTGAGAGGATTCTGAATGATGCTTGACAATCTGTGAAGTGTAAATATTCCACAGTTATCCCAGCAGAAGCAGCGATACATTGGACCGTGTTACAGTCCAAAAGCAACAGCTCGACTCTGACATGCTGTGAAATACAGTCAGGGGGGTTTTGACTTGAAACTTGTGCTTTAATAGTGAAGCGAAGGCCAGCAAAGCTGTAAAACTGCCCCCATAAAGTTTAACAATGTATGATGACATCTTTGACAAATGTAAATTAAATTATAAAGGACAGGCCCCCTTTAACTTGTGAGTGAAACAGTAAAAACACACTGGAAGTGTTACTTTACTGCCGTCATCTGAACGTTTTAGACGATGCACCTGAGAGGACAGTTAGGGTGGGTGAACGATTTTAAGCCTGTTGCTGTCAATCATCAGGTGACATCTGACCCAGGACCCCCTGCCCTCGTGCCACTCAGAGCCCCAAACACACACACACACATTCACACACGGACCCTCCCTCCCTCCGCTGCTGCAACTTTGCGACTGGCCAAGCAAGAATTATTTCTTAAGACCCCCTTGGAACCCCCGCACTTCCTCCATCCTAGCGCCTCCTGTCCTCCCCCTCTGGTGCTCCGCCACCCCCAGCAGCTGGAGGAGGTGCTCAGTGATGTGTCCCAGCAGAGCCTCTAATGTGGTGACAGGCCCAGGGACCACTGGGCTCCACTAACTGAGGAATGCAGCAGCCTGGACATATGGATCTGCAGAAATGCACCCTGGGAGAAACAGAGCGGCACCAGGTGTCTCTGCTATGCACCAGGACCAGCTAACAATAAACACACACACACCGAACGGCACTGTTTTGATGCACGGTAATTAGAAACAGCCGTCAAATATAGTCGCTTTCTGCATGTACGTGAATCTTTGTGTGTTTTTACACCACACACGTCTTTCCTTCACCTCTGGAGCAGTTTGGCGAAGTTTAGAGCAAGCAAACTCCTTTGCAACCCCACTGGAAAATATACATTTTATAGCAGAGTTACATCATGCTTTCATAACAAGAAGGTACTATGAGATAAAATGTATGCCAAGGGCTTTTAAAAATCACAAGGCTGTTTGGCTCCCAGACAGTTTTCCATTTCCTTTAAGCGTAATGAGGCTAGTTTCTCTGTAACAAAATGCCCCAAAGTCCTCTTATTTTTTAAATAGCTCCTGAATAGTAAGAAGGTGTAACAGTGGTGCCAGCAGTGAGCCGAGCTGGGCAGACGGGGGGGGAGAGCGAAGGAGAAAGAACTGGGCTGAAAAGCGGCCATGTTGCTGTGTAACTTGTTTGTTTTTCTTTTACAATCTTTGCACAACTTGCACTTTAATGCTCCATTTAGGTGTTAGAATTAAAATCGGTTTCATGTTACTGTTTCGTCTTTCAGCCCACACCGCACGGCGAAGCTCAGGGGAAGACAAACGCCTCCTTTTCTAGCTTTAATCAGTGTGACTGCTCGGTGCATCAAGCCATACATCCAGCACTGTCTGCCACTGGTCTCACACATGTCGCCCTCTTTTTCTCTGCATTTCCTCCCATTTATTACCAGTGTAAAGTTGAAGGAAGTGAGTTAAGTTAATGTGCTGTCGTTAAAACAAGGCATGAGCTGACCTTTACTCCCACCCTGCCTTTTCTCAGCTCTCCGAAGCCCCGTATTTACCGAGTCTGGGTCCATTTGCGGAGAACAATGGACGGATTATTATGTGCAGCAGTCCCCCAGGTTGGACAGGGCAGCAGTAATTAATTTTAAACACTCCTCATCCCTGTAGACTGGACTTATTTGCCATCCATTAGAGCAGACGGGGGGACTGGCTTTACTGAGGTGCTGCCATTTAGACGTGCGTGAGAAGAAGTTACGAGAGGGAACGAGCGCCGCTTTCGTGCGTCTGAATATATGCGTGCGTTTTATTAAGCAGGCTGAAATTACCCTGAGAAAAAGTCATGATAATGAGACATCCAAGGAGCGCTGTGCAATTTGGAAAACCTCAGAGGTACACCAACAACTATTCCCACTCCTCCTCCTCCTCCTCCTCCGTCGTCTCGTCTAAACCAGGTGGAAATAATATTCCTCCTGCTATGATCCCTCTGTTTCTATCACGGAAATAATGCTACCACCACTAAAACAATCCGTGTTCTCCATCTATCAGCACACACTGCTGACCCTGTCAGTTCAGGAGGAAACATTTGGAGAGAGGAATGTGTCAGACTTCACCCCTCGGAGGGGAAAGAAAGGAAAGGGCTGTAGCTGTGATAAGTAGTCATAATGGAGGTCAGTTGGTGTTTACTTTAGCGGGGTCATATAATCCCTGCGAGCAACACTCCCCTCATTGACTGACTTTAATGGCCACTTCAATTAACATTCATGTGGAATTTCAACAAGCCTTTCAGTATTTGTCACTTTCAGCTGTATGCTAATGTTCAGATGCACATGAGGAGAATTTTTTTTTTTTTTTTTTGCCTCCTTTTTGTTTTTGAAGAAAATCCCATGTCTCTGTGTGTACAATGCTCATTAGTTTGTTTGGGCAGTTGGCTCCGGGAGTGTTTTCAGACCACACACACTCTTCCTGCTGCCTGAATGGATTTGGGCTCGGTTAAATAGAATTCCTTTTGCTCCTGTTAACCTTCGCGAAACCCATGGAGCTGCTCACAAAGTGCACACAGAAGCGTCGGACGGTCGCCATTCACATGATAATTGACTCGATGCGTTCCCCTGCTCTGACTCGCAGACGTACGAATAACAGATTTTCATTAATTGACAGCTGCTTGGTGTTAAATACGATGATGCAGGACACTGTTTAGACTCGGCGGCTCAGGCTGCCGTGTTACACCCTTGGCCAAAGAAAGCGTGTGGACTGAGGGACTGGAAGCGAGCCTGTAGGTGGGGGCGAGGGTCCGCCTTGCTGGAACCTTACAAGTGACCTTACAATAACATTTCAGCCCCACAGTTGGATGTGTTTGTCTTGCGCAACCCCTCTTTCTAAGCTTCCTTGGTTTCTCCAGTCCCGCTCTGTTTTCTCTTTTCTTGTGGGGAGCCAAGTCGTGGAGACCCTCCCCACCCCCTCACGGCCTCCTTCCTCCCCGTTTTGTGCTCCACAGCTGTTCGCTCAGTCACTTCAGTAAGTGAAATGATGAGATTCCAATTGCTCTCCTCTTTCATCCCTCAACAGGAGAAGTCGGTTTTGTTTTCCTATAAATTTTAACGTCTAGATTTATGATTTATGAGCGCGTATGTAGACAGGCGGTGCAGAAACTGAAACTTTTCCTCCATTTTTCTTCCTTGGCCTTGCTTCTCCCGCCGCTTTCCTCAGTCGCTGCTTCCTTGTTGCATCTCCTTCAAGGCGTGCACCATGACAACATTTTGTTGCCTCGGGAAAACATCCATACTGTACACTCTATGCGATGGCGGCCTTGGAGATGTTTTCTTGGACTGAGCAGGTTTGTACAAGTTCAGGGGTTGTCATTGTGATGTTAGTGAATAAAAGGCAGATTTAAAGTGCAGAAACACTATCTGCCCCATCTTACTGTATGTGCTTGTTTGCTGTACTTGCCACAGCCTGCTGAAGTCTCATGCTGACTTATCAGAATACCAGATCAGGCAGCCAGAATGTACCTGTTGAATATCATTTAGAAGATGAGCTTTATCTCTCAGCGCATTTCCGCGTGCCATCAGCTCTCCCGCTGTATTTTCTTGTGTTTACGATTTTAGGAAGCAGT